AAGGTTGGGCAATCCTACTTCCGTAGTGATACTGCCTCAGAAACCCAAGGAGGGGTCGCTATGAGTCGGGCCGACTCGACGACACATAACAACAACAACAAAGGAGCTCTGGGAGCTCTGGTAGCGTAATGCCTAAGGCATTTGACTGCTAACCAGAAGGCTGGCGGTTCAAACCCAGCAGCCACTCCTCAGAAGGAAGGTTGGGCAATCTACTTTCATAGTAATACTGCCTGGGAAACCCAAGGAGGGGGTCATTATGAGTCGGATCCAATTTGACAGCAGTGAGCTTGGTTTTTGGTTTAGGGAGGCTGCAGTGAAATCTTTGGTGGAGGGGACTGAAACAATTTGTTCTTGTGAGTTTATCTAATTTTTCTAATTTACCAGGCACTCAGATCCATATTCCCATGGATCATCAGAAACTGGCCACAAGCCATCAAAAATAGCCCCACGCTGGAAATAACCTACATGTCCACAAACAGGGAAATGATGATGAAAATCATAAAGTATTAAAAGTATGCTTATGAAGATTTTTTAGAGATTCAGACATGGGAACATGCTTATTGATATAGAGTAAAAAGCACCTAAGGCACTTGACTGCCAACCAGAAGGCTGGTGATTCAAACCCACCAGCCACTCCTCGGAAGGAAGATGGGGCAATCTACTTCCATAGTGATACTGTCTCGGCAACCCAAGGAGGGGTCGCTATGAGTCAGGTCCGACTTGATGGCACACAACAACAACATCAAAACAAAGCTGATTGCAAAACTCCATGTTTGGTACAATATAACTCTTTAAAATAGTATTCAGAGACAGTATTTGATTTATTTGGAAATAAACCAAAATGATCACTGTAGTTACCTGTAGAAGTTGGCAGTGTGGCTGCTATACACATGTATTCCTCTACCAGCAGGAAACTTTCCTTTTAAATTGGTAGTAACAGTCTTAACTTGTATCAATATTTTCCATCCAAGAAGTTCAGAGCTCTCGGCACACATCAAGGCTCCCACCACTGTTGCCAGAGAAGAAGGTGGCAAGTGCCGAGAGCTGGCAGGGACCCACACCCTCCTCAGGATAATAAAAAATGACCCATGGGATCTGCAATTCAAGGTTCACTTTTTCAAAAAACACACTTAAGGATACCAGACTCTTAGCTTTATATCTCTAACCCAGCATTTCCCATCTTGTGTGCTTTGAATCAGTAATACAATGGTGTCAATAAAGAAACCCACCACTCATCTATCAGTTTGTTGTACTGCGGTGGCTTGCATGCTGCTATGAGGCTGGAGGATATGCCACCAGTATTTTGAATACCAGCAGGGTCACCCACGGTGGACAGGTTTCCGTGGAACTTCTAGACTAAGACAGACTGGGAAGAAGGACAGAGCCACCCACTTTGGAAAGAACTCGCCAATGAAAACCTTATGAAAAGCAGCGAAACAGTATCTGATATAAGCACAGGGCAGTGTTACATTCTATTGTACACAGGGTCACTATTAAGTCAGAATCAACTCAATGGCACTGAACAACAAAAATAAGGAAATACTTGGTAAATTGATATTATATTCAAACAAGTTTAGAAGTCCACATTTCAGTTAAATGAGTTAAAAGAGATTCCTCTAGTGGAAGGAGGGGTATGTAGTATGTATCATTTCCCAGACTAACTTCACCAAAATGTTATGTTTTAGGACTAGCTGCAGGAATGGAAGTTCTGAAAAGGTGGGGGTATCTTGGGAAGTGCAGCACTGAGCCCCAGCATTCCTTGTTCCTTCAACCTTAACTGAACACTGACATCACCTCGGACTGAAAAAATCCCTTGGTCCTGGTCTCATCCCAGATTTGGTCTGAGGTGCAGCCAGAATAGAACTAAGACCTACTCCTTCCTCAAACCCTTTTGGTTGTCCATGCTAAGGAGAGGTCAGCACCCAGGGTTGGGGTCCAATCTCATAATTATTCATGTATCATCAATTTTTGGAACTAAGTGGTGCCTCAAAGGACCTCTGGTCCAACCCTTCCTTTTACAGAGGAGGGAACTGAGGCTCTCAAAGGATCCTGGGCTCCTGGCCTCCACCTATGCTGTTTCCATAGTGCCAGGCTGCCCCATGGGCCCCAAGGCCTCTGGACCACAGGGCCCTTCATTCAGAGGGAGAAGCAAAGGAGATCCTTCAGGTCTCCAAGGCCCTAAAGCTGCCAGAGGTTGCCTATTGGCCAGGCTTTTACAAGCAAGTCCTAATACTATGAAATCCTGAAAACCCAGATGTGAAGCCAGAGGTTGGACTAGCTCAAGGGAACAGGAAGATGACACCGACAATAGGACAAAAAAAAAAAAGATGCTTCCTTAGGCTGCCTGAGCAAAAGGCAGGTACATTTTCCCCTCTGTGTGTTCTGCCTCTGCCTCAGGAGGCTTTGCCGTAGATGACTTTAAAGCCAAGAAACCACTGCACACAGTTAATACCTTGGCCCAACTTCCTCTGGCAGCACTCTTGGGCCTAAACAGAGAGTTTGCAGTGAAAATCTCTACGTGTGTCTGTTTCCCATGCTGTATCTGCAAACACTCCCCTTTTTCAACCTTGTTGTTGTTATGTGCCATTGAGTCGGCCCCGACTCATAGCGACCCCTCCTTGGGTTTCCGAGGCAGTATCACTACGGAAGTAGGATTGCCCAACATTCCTTCCAAGGAGTGGCTGGTGGGTTTGAACCGCCAGCCTTCTGGTTAGCAGTCAAGTGCCTTAGGCACTATGCTACCAAAGCAACCTTAAGACTCTATTATTCTCTTTAGCATATTTTTTTTGGGGGGGGGGAAGCTATGAGGATTAGAGAGAGGGTGCTATGAGGTGGAAGGTAAAACCCATACACACACACAACCTCTGAGGTACCCTCCCTGACCCCCCAGTCCTATGTCACTGGTCCCAACATCTGTTGTGACACCCTGTACTCAAAGACCCAACATCCTAGGTACTCTCTAGGTGTTCTTCTAAATGTCAGGCCCACAGCTAAACTCTTGGAGACATATCTCAGGTAGGCCCCAATCTACCCTCTGTGGGTTTAGCAGTGAGGAATACAGAAGGACAGGATGGCTCCTGTGTGTTCCGTCAGTATTCAAATTTATCCTAGAGGCTAAAACGCAGGACCATGACCTGCGGGAGCTGAGGGGAGTTGCAGGGAGCTTCTACCAGAAAGCAGGCTGAATCAACCAGTCCTGAGAGGGATACCCCTCTCCTGAAGTTACCCAAGCATTCGCCTGGGCCACACTCTCAAAAATTTCTTCATGTGGTTGCCTGAGAGGTTTATCAATGTTAGAGAGATGTCCTCAAGGTCCTCCACTCTGTCCATGACATCCCTGACTGGCCAGAGCTGCCACATCTGCCCTATGGTCCCCAGAGGGATGCGATCTTATCTGGGACATAGGAGGAGGTGGATACAGGGATCCCAGGGATAAAATGTGAACTGCACTGCCCTGTGGTTAAAGCATTGGGCTGCTAACCAAAGAGTTGGTGATTCAAACCTATTAACCGCTCTGCAGGAAAAAGATTGACAGCCTTGGAAACTCTATGGGGGAGTTCTCCTCTGTTCTATCTGGTCACTATGAGTCAGAAATGACTCCATAGCAGTGGGTTTGGTTTTGGTTTTTACCGGGGCCAATTTAACTCTTTGATAATAAACATAAGGCATTATTTTTCACACGAAAACATGGCTAAGTTATAGATGATATGAAGTGCACATGCATTTTTTGAGAGGTGGGGAAAAAACATTTCAAAGGCGTCTCACCCAGCAGAGGCTGCTTTGGGTGTCCCACATAATCCTCCCTTCTCCCTGCCCTGCAGGTTTGGTGAAGTTTGCGCAGTGCGTTGAGTGGGTTACGGTTCTGCTAGGCTGTGTGGGTCAGTAATGAAACCCTCTCATTACGGTCTTTCCGCCAAGGAAGACGCCGGGTCCTAGGCGCAGAAATGAAAGCCCGCCCGCACCCATGCAACCTTCAGAGAACACCTCGGGCCCCAGCAGGCAACGCTGGCTGCTGAAGTCCGGAGACAGCGTGATGCCGGAGCCACCTGTCCGGGTCCTCACTGCGCCCGCCCATGCGTCCCCTCCTTTAGTTCCTACCATGTCCCTCACGGTAGTGAGGCCGATTCCTCCGTGCGATCAGCCGGCTCCGAGACTCATCTTGCTGTCCCGGATCGGGTCTCCCCAGACGTCCAGAGACGCACAGTTGCGTCCGGCTCGCGTTTCCGAGACGGAAAGTCCACAGCGTCTTGTGGCTAAGTGGACCCGCGCCACCCGGGATGCTGAGAGAGTGGGTTTGTTAGAGGGCTCTGGATGGATGCGCAGCGGGATCTCCGGGGTCCGCGAGGATCTCACGGTCCGCTAGGATCTCCAGGTCCGCAAGGATCCTCCGTAGCCGCGAGCCTCCGGGCTCTTCAGAAGAGGTTTGCAGAGTTTGCTAAGTCCCTGCCGCGAGTCCCGGCGCTTCCCCGAAAACGCCGAGGGGCAGCTCCTTTCACAATAAAAGCCCTGCCCGGGGCTCGGGCAGCCCAACCGCCTGGAGCAGGAGGGTGGGGGCAGGTGCGAGGAAGGAACGGCCCCGCCCTGCGCGCCAGCGGGTGATGTGCCCCGGCCAGGCGGCGAGGGGCACCGCACAGGGGCGCCGCGCATCGCCCGGGGGCTGCCTCTAAGGCGTGCGAGTCCTCTGCTAGCCCGCAGCAACCTGGGGGCTCGGCTGAGGATCACCGTGCTGCCACTCTCTTTTGCGAAGCCTCAGAAAGACAAGTCTCCTTTTCACTGGCATCTCATCGCCTTGTTTAGGCTCAGACCCCAAGAATGGTTTGGAAGGAAACACGGGAAGGAAAATCCGTTGATCATTTAACGTCATTAAAAATCAAATTTTTCTGTTTGAGAATGAATCACTGTTTAATCACTGGACCCCACAGGTAGTGGTGTTGTATCCCCCGGCCAGCTGTGGCAGTCAGGGGCAACTCCTCTGGAGAGGTGTGGAGATAGTACTGACCTCAGAGTCCAGAGCCTGGAGACTCCTCTGGGGACTCCTCTGCTAACAGCTGGGTGACCTTCAACCAGTTCCTCAACCTCTCTGAGCACCTGCGTGTTTCAATAGCCATTTTGACCTCAGGACTCTTAAGAGCCTGTAAGCAATGGGTAGAGGTAGAGACAGATTCAGCAATGGGGTACCCTGAGAAAATCTGGGACCAGGCTGGAAAATCACCCTCCAAGACGGAAACTACCAGAAATCAACATTAGATAGATTGAAGCTGGCATCTTCCCAGGAGTTGTCTACCTTGGTGTCCCTGATGGCAGTGCTCCTAAAGGGAAGCAAAGATTCAGTGTGCCCTTAAGCTGTGTATGTGGGAGGGGGGCAGGTAGAAGGGAAAGTGTTTATGCAGACCTTATACTTCATGGAGCTCTGGTGGTCTAATGGTTAAGTGTTAGGCTCCTAATGGAAAAGTCAATAGATAGAACCCACCAAGAGAGAAAGATGAGGCAGTCTGCTTCCACAAAGATTGTTGTTGTTATTTGCCGTCGAGTCCCGACTCATAGTGACCCCTCCTTGGGTTTCCAAGGCAGTATGTCCTGGCTCATAGCGACCCCTCCTTGGGTTTCCGAGGCAGTATCACTACGGAAGTAGGATTGCCCAACCTTCCTTCTGAGGAGTGGCTGGTGGGTTTGAACCTCCAGCCTTCTGGTTAGCAGTCAAGTGCCTTAGGCACTATGCTACCAGAGCTCCTTCCACAAAGATTACAAAGCCTATAGGACAGTTCTACTCAGTCCTTCTGGGTCACAGTGAGTTGGAATGGACCCAAGGGCAATGGATTTGGCTTGTTTTTTATTATGCTCCAGATGCTTTCCATAGGTTATTTCAGTAAATCATCACAAGCAATCCTAAGAGAAAAAAGGTATTCTTACCACTTTATAAGATGAAATTGAGAAGTAAGGAGTTGCAGTGACTCTTCTGAGGCCAGGTAACCTATAAATAGCTTAGCAAACCCAAGTGTGTTTGCTAGAGCAGGAGATGAAAAGAAGACATTGATAAGACAGGAATCAGAGGCAGGCAGGAGGCAGTGCCGAAAATGGCAGCTTTTCTGCGCTTAGGAAGTACTGAAAGGATAGAATTTGAGCCTGGAAGAGGAATGTAAGGGAAGAAGGGAGAAGTGGGGACAGGACAAACTTTCTAGTGTTTTATCCAGACATTTAAAGATACAATGTGGTCTTTTGAGTCTCCTTTTCTGTGACCCACATAAGATGTACATTTTATGTTGTGACCCTTTATACAAGCATACATACATACATATATGAGTATAACTAACACAAATGTTTCACAAAACATTACTACATGGGATATACTATTTCTGTTCTATTTCATTACAGTTCTTTTTAATGGTCATCTCAAATCACTAACTTTATCTCACTAATATCCACAAGTGAGTGCAGTTTGAAAAGCACTGTATTAGAGAGTGGAACAAAGAGATTTCTTTAGATTAAAGTTTTCCAAAAGGACTTTCAGTGTTTTGAAGAATATATCTTTTATATGTGAAAAGAATTTAAATGGCAGGGGTTTTGTGGGCCAAGTATGGGAACACTGAGCGGAGTTAAACAGGGTCAAACAGATTTTTTTGTTTTTTCTTTCATAGGACGTTTCAAGAGCTTTTCAGGCTAATGTGCATTGAGACTTTCTGATATGGGAGGAGAATGCCCAGTGTTTCCCAGGCTTACTGGGTATAGAACTCTTTGTTAGGGGGAGCAGTTCTGAAGATTCATGTTCCACATTGGGAAAATTGTTCCAGGATCTGGCCCAACCAAGTGAAATGTCATGCAAGGACAAATATTAAAAACTCTGCACTCTACAGCCAGGCTCCCAAGCTCAGCACCATTTTATTCACGTGATACTATGTTCAGACATGCAGATGGTGAGCACAGAAATTCCATTTGTAAATGAGCATTGCCAACTGATTTATAATCCAGACTGAACGTGAGCAGTCAGTACTCCAGCAATGACCACAGCTCAGTAAGCAGATAAAATTGAGTTCTGGACCTACAGAACTGAGACACACCATGGATCTGCAATGACTCCACCAAGGACCTGCCCTTCACAGGATCCTGCCTAGAAAACTCACCTTCCCTTTCTTTACCAACTCCTAAACCAAAAAAACTTGCCATTGAGTCAATTTCAACTCATAGCAATGCTATAGGACAGAGTAGGGTTTCCAGAGCTGTAACCTTTATGAAGCAGACCGCATCATCTTTCTCCTGAGGAGCAGCTGGTGGGTTCAAACTATCCACCTTTCAATTAGCAGTTGAGCACTTAACCAGCTTACACTATTCCTTTCAATTCGGGAACATTGTGATTCAGATGACTGGCTCATATTATCTTACATATGGCAGTTTATGTCTCTGACAGCATGCTTCATAGAGCTGTGCTATGACTCTGTGTCCCAACATATCTACAGTGTTGACAACCCTTTCTGGTTCCCTGTCCCCTACTTCCTCACTCTCCATGCATTCATCAAGGGGACATTTACTGGGCACCTGTATGGTAACAAGTCCCATGTTTAGTGCTAACTGTCAGGAATGAATAAGAAACTACAATGAGATATCACCTCACCCCCAATAGAATGGCAATGATCAAAAAACAGAAAATAACAAGTGTTGATGAGGTTGTGGAGACACTAGAACCTTCATCCATTGCTAATAGAAATGTAAAATGATGCAGCCATGTGGAAAACAGTTTGGCAGTTCCTTAAAAAGCTGAACATAGACCTACCATCTGACTCAGCAATTTTACTCCTAAGCATATACCTAAAAGAAGCGAAGACAAGAATGCAAACAGAAAACTGTATACCAAAGTTCATTGCAGTACTTTTTACAATAGCCAAAAGGTAGACACAACAGAAATGTCCATCAAGATATAAATGGATAGATAAGTTGTGATATATACACACAATGGAATACTACCCAACCATAAAGAGAAACATAGTCCTGATGCATACCACAACATGGATGAACCTTAAAAACATAATGCTAAGTGAATAAGCCAGACACTAAAGGACAAATATTGTATAATCTCACTTATACAAAATATCTAGAATAAGCAAATGTACAGTGACTTAAATAAAATAATGGTTACCAAGGGTTGGGGGAGGGGGAAATAGGGAGTTACTGCCTAAAATAATTTTTAGTTCTACTATTACACTCATCACACAATATTAAAAAAAAAAAATTAAAAAAAAAAAACTTTAATATGCACACCTTTCCCAGGAATGTTGGTAAAATAAACAAATAAAAGAAAAACCCTGGAAATTGTTACCACAGCATAGTGTAGTAGTTCCTGATTACATGGATAAATTGTTTTTGAAACGAGTTGCTTGAGAAGAGTCATAAATCAGATTTTGTCACTCCTCTAATCACAGTTTCCCAGTGGCTTCCCATCTCCCTAAAAGTAACATCCCATGTCTTACAGGAGCCTGTAAGTCCTTGCACACTTGGTCCCTCATTGCTTCTCTAACATCATCACCTGTACCACCTCTCTTACTCATTGTGTTCCAGGACAATTACCTCCTTATCGCTCCTTGGACACTGCAGGCATTATCCCGCCTCAGGACCTTTGCACTTAACTATGCCTTCTGCCTGAAATTCACCATACGCAACACTGCATCTACCACTCACAAAGCAGGGGCCACAGTAAAGCAAGTCTCCACGGGTTTCAGATTCGTCAGCTGACAAATAAGGACCATCATCCCTGTCCAGTTGACTTCTCTGGGTTCCTGCAACCACGTAACATGTTCATATAAACTAACAGCCACCTCCTCAGTGAGACCTCCCTGAACACCCCATTTAAGACTGTCCCTATCCCCCTTCAGTTTTATTCCATGATTTTTTCCTGAACTGGACAATTTCTTGGAACCTATGTTAAAGGGTTTTAAATATAGACGACAAGTAAATGCCCACTTTGAGGGATTGAGGAAACAGCACTTCATGCATTATTTACTTTCAGAATTTCAGCTGATTGGCAGGTGGCCGCTCCTCAGTTGCTTGCAGAGCCTCTGGTTACACAGGAGCCTTGCAAGTTGGAAAACACTCAACTGCAACAGGTGCTGCTGCTGCTGCTGTTGTGTGTTGTCATGTTGATTTCAACTCATAGTGACCCTGTAAGACAAAGCAGAACTGCCTCATAAGGTTTCCTAGGCTATAATCTTTACAGGAGCAAATTGCCAGGTCTTTTCTCCTGTGGAGCCCCTGGGTAGGTTCGAACTTAGGACTTTCAGTTGGCAGCTGGGTGCTTAACCGCTGCACCACCAGGGGTCCTTGAGACAGGTGCTAGTGAGAAATACTTTATTATTTCCACCAGAGGGCACTTCCTAGTTGGTCCCAGTGTATATCTATCTTTACCTTTCATCAGCTCTAAAGAGTAGGATTTCTGACTTGCTTTAATGACGTTTTAGGGCTCCTTATCATAGCATCACAGGCAGCTGCTTGATTCACATGTTCTTTAATATGGTTTCATGTCTGGCTCCATCCCAGACTTACTGAACCAAAATTTTCAAGGCTAAGAACTTGTGCATTTTTAAACACTACAATTAATTCTAAAGCACAGCTAGGGCTGAGAACTACTGAGCTAAGAAATTCTCCTCCACGTCTCCCACCTCTAACGGACTGTAAAATCTCTTGCCTCTGTCCATTCTCTCTTCCACTCCTTTGGCTCAAACTTTTGTCACTGTTCACAGTACTCCCAGAGGAACCCTGATTAGTTTCTACTTTGTGTGCGTGTGTTACACATCATCGAGAAGATTCCAACTCATAGTGACCCTATAGGACAGAATAGAACTGTCCCATAGAGTTTCCTAAACTGTAATCTTTATGGGAGCTGATCACCAGGTCTTCTCCCACGGAGCGCCTGGTAGATTTGAACAGCAGACATTTCAGTAAACAGCTAAGCACTTAACTACTGAGCCATCAGTTATGTGCCGTCGAGTCGGCCCCGACTCATAGCGACCCCTCCTTGGGTTTCCGAGGCAGTTATCACTACGGAAGTAGGATTGCCCAACCTTCCTTCCGAGGAGTGGCTGGTGGGTTTGAACCGCCAGCCATCTGGTTAGCAGGCAAGTGTCTTAGCCACTATGCTACCAGAGTT